CTTGCGGACCAAATGAGGCCAAATCAGACTGATACAGACCGAGCCGGAGCGGTCAATCCAACCCAAGAAGTGGGGAACGAAACCCGAGGCCCAACAGAGACCTGCCCGACCCCCCCTTGCTCGTCACCGTTGTCGGCCTCCTCCTCGCCCTTTGTCTTCGTGCTCGCCATCTTTCCCCTCCTCCTCCTCGCCGTCCTCCTCCTTCTCGTCCGCCCTTGATGGATTCTGGACCCTGGGCTTTGGACCCCTGGCTCCGGGGACCAGAGTTGACGCCTGTGGACCCATCTTCGGCCCCTGGAATCCTCCACGATCCCTGGGCCCCTCCTCGGCCCCGAGAGTGCGGCCCCAGGACCCCACGACCAGGAGCAGGAAGAGCAGGAGGAGGAGGAGCAGGAGGGGGAGGAGGAGGAGGGGCAGGGGAGGAGGAGCAGCATCAAAGGCGGAGGTGCAGGAGTAGGAGGAGCATGAGCAGGAGTGGGAGGAGGAGGAGGAGGAGGAGGAGGAGAAGGAGGAGGAGGAGGAGGAGAAGGAGCAGGAGCAGGAGCAGGAGGAGGAGGAGGAGGAGGAGGAGGAGGAGGAGGAGGAAGGGGGGGGGGTCATGGGGGAGGGCAGGGGGGGAGAGGAGGAGGAGGGGATGAGTAGCAGGAGAAGGAGGAGGAGGAGGAGGAGGAGGAGGAGGAGGAGGGGGAGGAGCAGGATGATGATGAGGATGATGATGATGATGATGATGATGAGGAGGAGGAGGAGGAGAGGAGGAAGGAGGACGACGAGGAGCAGGAGGAACAGGAGGAACAAAGGAAGGAGGAACAGCAGCAGCAACAGCACAACAGCAGCAGCAGCAGCAGGTGCAGGAGGATCAGGGGAAGGAGGGGGAGGAGCATGAGGAGGAGGAGCATGAGGAGGAGGAGATGAGAGGAGTAGGATGAGGGGGAGGAGGAGGAGGAGGAGGAGGAGGAGGAGGAGGAGGAGGAGGAGGAGGAGGAGGAGGAGAAGGAGGAGGGGGAGGAGGAGGAGGATGAGGAGAGGAGGGGAGGAGGAGGAGGAGAGAGGACGACGACGACGACGCAGAGGAGGCCCCCCCCACCCCACCGCTTTTTCTTCGTGCTTAGTCCTCCTCCTCTCCTCCTCCTCCTCCTCCTCCTCCTCCTCCTCCTCCTCCGCCTTCTCCTCCGCCCTCTCCTCCTCGTCCTTGTCTCTCCTCCTCCTCCCTCCTCCTCCTCCCTCCTTCTTCCTCCTCATCCTCCTCCTCCTCCTGTCGTCTCGTCCTCAACCTCCTCCTGCTCCTCCTCCTCCTCCTCCCTCCTCCTCCTCCTCCTCCTCCTCCTCCTCCTCCTCCTCCTCCTCTTCCTCCTCCTTCTCCTCCTCGTCCTCATCGTTCCCCTCCTCCTTGTCCTCGTCCTCCTTTCCCTCCCCCTCCTTTCAGCTCTGCGACAAATCGTTAGCTCGGACGTGGGACGTCGAGACGCAATCGGCAGCGTCGAGACCGCCCCTGGCGACCGTAAAGGGCCCCCCAAACCTCTCTTGTGGCCCTAATCGGCCGTGTCGGGGTGTTCGGGGCTCCTCGTTGGCGCCGCTTCAGCCGTCAGGGTGCCCTCTGGTGCCGTCATGGGACACGGTTGGGGCCCCCTGGAGCCGCAGCGGGGAAGTCTTGGGGACCTCTGGGACGAGCTTGCGCCGTCGAGAAACAGAACATTCCAGGTGGCCAGAAACCCCGGAGAAACCATTGGAAAAGCTAGGAGTTGAGGGGGCAACTGTGGGAAGCCTCGAGGAAGCTTCTTTTCGCTGGCGAGGTGGCCTGGCAACTGTCGTGGGGCGATCGTCGGCGTCGCGCAGGCCTGGAAGCGACTCTGGGGGCTCGTGGGGCCTACTTAGGGGCGCTGTCCCTCCCATGCGGAGGCGTCTTGGACCGCGGTTGGGAGCCCCAGGGGCCCGAGCCGCATCGGTCTTGGCGCCCTCTTGGGCTGCCGTGCAGCGTGGGAATGCAGAACAAGCTGGACGAATGAAAGCGTGGAAAAAACATTGGGGGGCAAAACAACAGGAGTAAGGCCTCAGGGGGCCCTGGGCCTCTTGAAAGCATGCCGCGTCGACGAAGTCGCTCGGGGGGCTGTCTGTGATCGTCGGCGCCGCGCAGGCCTGGAAGCGACTCTGGCGGCTCGTGGAGCCTACTTGGGGGCGCTGGTCCTCCTATGCGGGCCGTCTTGGACCACGGTTGGGAGCCCCAAGGGCCCGAACCACATCGGTCTGGACGTCCTCTTGGACCCTCTTTGGTTGTCGTGCAGCGTGGGGATACAGAACAAGCTGGATGAGTGAAAACGTTGAAAACAACGAATAAGGCCTTAGAGAGCCCTCCAGGAAGGCCTCTTGGAAGCATGACGTGTCGACGAAGTCGCTCGGGGGGCTGTCTTGGGGTGATCGTCGGCGTCGCGAGGATCTTGGAGCGCCACTGGCCGCTCTGTGACCCTACTGGGGCGCGCCGATCCTCCCATACGGAGCCATCTGGGGACAAGGTTGGGAGCGTCTGGGGCCGAAACGGGACGGTCTGGGCGTCCTCTGGGGCTGCCGCGCAGCGTGGGGATGCAGAACAGGCTGCATGCAGAGAAACGTGGACAAAAACTATGGGAACAACAAGTGCGTGAGCTTTGGTGAGCTCTCCTGGAGGCCTCTGGGAGGCCTGTGGGAGACCTGGGGCACCAGGCGGGAGCAGCCCGAGGAGCTCCCTGCAACCTCTTGAGGCTCTGGTGGCTCCGGGCCGGCGAAACCCTGTAAAAACACAGGGGAAGTGAGACCCCGGGCTCCAATGCGCCGCCGAGGTCCATGGGCGGGACCCCCCCGGCCATGTCCCCTGGGGCTCTGGTGGCCCCGGGTGGCCGAAACCGTATAAAAACATTGGGAGAGGAAGGCCCCGGACACCCCATGCCCCGCCGAGGTCCTGGGCGGGACCCCCCGGCCACGTCCCCCGCCGGGGTTCTGGTGGCTCCGGGTGGCCGAAACCTTGTAAAAAAACACGAGGAAAGTAAAACCCTTGGCCCCCCATGCCCAGCCGAGGTCCCTGGACGGGACCCCCCCGGCCACGTCCCTGGTGTATGTATGTATGTATGTATGTATGTATGTATGTGTGTATGTATGTATGTATGTATGTATGTATGTGTATATATACATAACTGTATATATGTATATATATACAAGACAACATTGGCGCTTCGCGCCATGCACCTGGTTCCTTGTAGTTTCAAATGCAGGCGGCGTGCGTGCGCATGGGCATGGGGCGGGCCACCGCCAAGTCGAAATGGGTGAGGAGTTCCTGAGCGGGTGCGACCGGACAATACCAGCTGAGGCCATCTCACGGCGTTTCGGGGCACACAGGCGCGAATGTGTCTCAGGCGAGTGGTTGGGCTAGCATGGAGCAGGGCATCCTCCTCATCTTTCTCCTGCTCCCTCTTTCCCTCCTCCTCTTTCTCCTCCTCATCCTCATCCTCATTCTCCTCTCTCCCCCTCTTCCTCAAATTCCTCCTCCTTCTCCTCCTCCTCCTCCTCCTTCTCCTCTATCTCCTCGTCCTCCTCCTCCTCCTTCTCCTCTACCTCCTCCCCCCTCCTCCTCCGCCTCCTCCTCCTCCTCCTCCTCCTCCTCTTCCTTCTCCTCCTCCTCCTCCTCCTCCTCCTCCTCCTCCTCATATTCATCCACCTCCTACAGAACATGCTAGTTTCGGCATGCGCGCTGCTGGGCTGCCGGCTTGGAGCCCCAAAGAGGCCCAAGGCTGACCCAAGAAGGCCCAAATAATCTAAAATTTCCATAAGAAAAACCCAAAATGGGAAATCAATGTGTTTGGCCTTCTCGCCTTTTCGCTTACGATCGGCACTTGAGGCGTCAAGATAGCCCCAGGACGGCTCCAAATGAGTCCCCAGACGAGCCCCAAAGAGGCCCAAGGCTGGCTCAACAGGGCTCGGAGAGTCGGAAATCAGAGAAAACCCATTGGAAAAGCAATGTGTTCGGCCTTCTCGCTTGTCCTTTCAGGCTGGCTCGAGAGGCGTCAAGGTGACCCCAGGATGGCCTCGGAGAGGCGTAAGCCGAGGGCCACAGAGGCCCCCGAAGCTGGCCGAAGAGGGCCCGAATACAAATCCATTGGGAAATCAATGTTTTTGGCCTTCTCGCCTGGTCGCTTCCGATTGGCTCTTGAGGCGTCAAGATAGCCCCAGGACGGCTCCTATCGAGTCCCCAGACGAGCCCCAAAGAGACCCTAGGCTGGCCCAAGAAGGCCCAAATAATTGAAATTCGATGACAACCCCATTGAACAACAATGTTTGTGGCCTTCTCGCTTTTTCGCTTACGATCGGCTCTTGAGGCGTCGAGATAGCCCCAGGTCGGCTCCAAATGAGTCCCCAGACGAGCCCCAAAGAGGCCTAAGGCTGACCCGAGAGGGCCTGGAGAAGGGAAAATCAGAGAAGACCCAAGGCGCAAGACTGGCCGGAGGATTGGAAATTCGTTTGGGGGGTCAGGGGGGTGCGCTCTTTCTGGGGTCCCCGGCCGCATACAAAGAAATTAATATCATTAGAGTGTATATATACATGCATCCATGCATTCTATATATATACACATTATATATGTATATATATATATATATGCATACATAGCTGCAGGTGAATACTATATATATATATATATTTAGAGAGAGAGAGAGAGAGAGAGAGAGAGATGCATCTACGTGCGTGTATAGATAAGCATATAAAGGTATTGACTGATTGACTGCTTGATTGGCTGATAGACAGATAGATAAATAAACTGATGGTTGCCCTAGATAGATATCTCGGTTGATAGGCCGATTGATAGATGGGCAGGTGTGCGCGACAATGGGAAAATGGAAGAAACCACCAAAGAACCCACAGCCATCGCAAATCGACCGCCTCCCCCCTCCCCCCCCCAAACCTCCTCATCTCCCGCAGGGTGGTACTATCGGTATGGCTATCACGCTTGCCCGCAAAACTGTCTGCTCCGAGGGGCGGACCACGTCCTCCGACGGGTCGAGGCACTGGTCGAAGCGGCAGAAGTTGGTCCGGCCGAAGTGGCCCTGCTTCTCGAAGGCGAGCTTCGCTTCGCGCCGCTGCCGGCCTACCCAGAGGGCGCACCGGAGCGAGGAGCCTGCTCGGGTCGCGTCTCCACAGCGGGCGAGGAGGGCAGAGGGGGGCAGAGGAGGGGGGAAGAGGAGGAGGAGGGAAGAGAAGATGAGGAGGGGGAGGCGGAGGAGGAGGAGGAGGAGGAGGAGGAGGAGGGAAGAGGAGAAGGGATGAGGAGGAGGAGGAGGAGGAGGAGAAAACGAGGAGGAGAGAGGAGAGAGGACAAGAATTGACCCAAGATTCACCAGCGATGCTACATGTCACCCTCCCGTGCCAAGTCCCTCCCTGTCCATTCCTGCCAGCCTTCCTTCTCACTACAAGAAGAGTCCCCTTAAAACACCAGCACCCCATGGGCATGTCATTTGGGCGAGAACCACGTTTCTTGAAACGATCTGCCTTGCATGGTTCCAGCGCGGAGGCAGAATCATCCGGTTCGAAGAGGTGTAAAGCGAGATATCCGTTTTGAAAAAGGACCGCCCCACCCGTGTCACTGTTGCACGAATATACACCTCTGGTCTTATGTTGCCCCCATCCTAATTAAGGACCGCATCCCAAAAAGTCATTTCGAGCACCCGGAAAAGTGTCAAAAGAGTGTCGAAAGAGTGTCGAAACAGTGTCGAAAGAGTGTCTCCCAGGGCCCGACACGTGAAAACTCTTGAGTTGTTGGGGTGTTTTCTTGGCGCTCGATTTTCATACTGGTGATCAAGGCTAAAATAGGTTGGAACATCATGAATCTACTTGGTGTCTGTTCCATGGGAGCCTGCGTGGCCCCCGGCACTGCTCGATTTGGGTTGGATGTGGACCAAATTTGGAGCACATTTGGGACCGGACTTCGACCGGACTCGCCCGATCACAAGGGAGACGGAAAGAAGAACGAGGGGGAGGAGGAGCAGGGAGGGCGAGGAGGAGCAGGAGACAGGACCAAATGCGGTCCAAATGCAGGAAAAACTGATTTCAATGTCACCCCCCGAGGCTCCCATCAACAGACATCGAAAATCTACGCCTCTGGTCATGACCTTCGAGGGTGTCTCAAGCGATTCGTCCCAATTTTGGAAAGGAACCCCCTCCACCGGTGCAGCTGCCACATCGGTTGATACTTGATAGTTTGGAGAGTTCTTCAACGAGAGCTTAGTTTTGTGTCGGGCGCGTCCCCCTTACAGGGGGATTTTGGGCGAAAAAATAAACAAATCCAAAAAATACTCCAAAGATTCCCAAAAGTACTCCAAACATTGTCCCCAGACTATTCTTTAAACTATTTTTAAAAAAGATTCCCCCAGTAGAGGGACAGGCCCGACTTAAGCTTAGTTTGAAAAGGAAGCAATTCTTTTCTTGAGCTTTTGCACAATTTGAGAGGGAATGCGCAAGGCAGCAAGTCGAGAGCGCCTTTTTTGACAGCGACCCCACCTCCAGCCCTGTAGCTGTTGCAACGCTTTGGAGCGCAACTGCCCAACAATAAAACGAGAGTTCCATTTTGAGAAAGACGCCCTTACATACTTACGTCTAACTGTTGCGGATGTCAAAGCTTATATTGAAGAGTACTGCTGGAATTTCAGGCGGATCGACGAGCGCGCCCTACCAAAAAATCTGCAGGTGCGACAAGGAGGAGCTACCTGTTAAAAACGGGAGTGGGGGAGAAGGGGCGATAAGGCAGGACGAGGGGCCAATTTTCCTTCCTCCTCAACTCTCCCCTTCCCGGGGACCTGTTAAGAACTGGCGTGAGCGAGTCAACTCACGGAACTGGTTGTCCCAACGACTCCTGGCGTCGGAGACGAGCATGGGGCTCATTCGGGAAAGTCTGGGTAAAAAGTAATTGTATCTCTTGGAAGCCAACTTAGACATCCGCCAGCTTCCGCCGGCGGAGGCGGCTTTGGCTTCCTTTCGCCAGCCTCCGCCGCACTTCCGCCGAGGACGAGATGCCGACTCCTTCGGCCCTCTAGGGCGAAGTCCTGTCAAGAGCGCGCCGTGTCTCGGGGAAAGTGCCTAAGTGCGGGACCGAAGCCAGCTGCACGCAACAGATGTCCTAACCTCCCCTTTGGCGGAGGGAGAAGATGGAGGAGACGGCGGAAAGGGGGGAGAGGGAAAAGAGGGAGAGAGAGAGGAGGGAGGATGAAGGAGAGAGGAGGGAGGAGCTGGCCATCCCCCTTCCAAGGCTGATGTGCGTGTGTGTGTGTATGTGTGTACGTGTGTGTGTACGTGTGTGTACACATGTGTGTGCGTGTGTGCGTGCGTGCGTGCGTGCGTGCGTGTGTGCGTGCGTGTGCGTGCGTGTGTGTGTGTGTGTGGGTATGTGCGTGCGTGTGCGTGTGCGTGTGCGTGTGCGTGTGCGTGTGCGTTTGCGTGTGCGTGTGCGTGTGCGTGTGCGTGTGCGTGTGTGTGTGTGTGTGTGTGTGTGTGTCTGTGTGTGTGCGTGCGTGTGTGTCTGTGTGTATGTGCGTGCGTGTGTGTATGTATGTATGTATGTGCGTGTGTGTGCGTGCGTGCGTGCGTGCGCGCGTGCGTGCGTGCGTGTGTACATGTGTGGGTGTGAGTCGGGCCGTCGGGGGCGCACGTCCAGCCACGTGAACGCAGCTGACCGCGGCCCGCACCCGCGGGGGCCCAACGTGGGCCGCTCGGGAGCCCGAGGCGCTGCCATTCCGAGGCTCCGGACCCTGCCCAGGCCCCGAGGGCGTGCACGCCTCCGCGGCAACGCGCGGGGGCCCCCCGTCCTTAATGCGGGATGACGATTAATAAAAAAAATGGGAGGGAACGATCAAAAACACAGTTTTCTGCTATGTCTGCACAATTTTCCGACCGGAGGAGAACGATTACAAACTCGGGAGCGGCCAAGAAGGGGGTGTCCAAGAGGGGGGGGTGCAAATCATGACCGGCGGCATGTGCGCGGCCCAGCTGGGGGGCCAGGGACGTAATGAAATAAGAAGAGGCGCTACGAGATCTGGGGAAATATCATGGCCCCCGCCATGATATCCGCCCCCCCCTAGTCATCACCCCCCTCTTTTCCGCCCCCGACAAACATTGTTTTCCAGCCCGCGGCCGGTTTTTTCTAATCGTCATCCCGGACGCCGCCGCGTGAACACGACCCCAGGTCATTTATTAATCGTCATCCTCCATTACCATCTTGCTGGCCCTTGCGAGTCGGCGCTGGTCGACGCCAAATCGACGCCGAAAACATGCTCCGTCTCATCGGCTGCCAGGCGTCGGTCGACGCTGGTGTACTCCAAGGGCGGAGTTGCGAGAGAACTGCGAGGGTACCCTGAAAGAGCCCAGGGGCACACAAGGAAGTCCGCCGGGCCCCGCGTGCCGTGCGAGATGATCGGTTGTCCCCCATCCTTTTCCTGCGCAGGCCGCTGGGCCCGCGGCCCGTGGCGTCAGTGGCCCGCGTTCGACCGCGGGCGAGCAAGACGGGCGCCTAGCCCTCCCACGAAAAGGCCTTGGAGACACAGGCGGGGAGGATGCGGCGAGAAACAGCAAGAAGGTAAACTCGACCACATCTCTCCACTGCGGCCCAGTGGAAACAACCGAAGAAGGGACCCACGGGGGCCAGGGGTCACTGGGTCGAGCTCGATAGGCGACTTCATTCTCCCCCATCCCTTTGGGTGCCCCAAAAAGGGGTCCAACTGAAAGGGGGTGGTGCAATAGATTTGGGGCAATTGTATTGCAAATGCATTGCGCTGGAGAGTTGTATTACATTGTATTGCAAGTGATGCGTTGCACGCGAACCTCCAGCAATACATCTGCGCCCCGGAATGTATTGCACGCCCCAAATGCATTGCAACTCCATCAATCTATTGCACCCAATTCATAGCACCACCCCCTTGTCGCTGGACCCCCTTTTGGGTCAACCCGAATCCCCCCCCTCTCCCCCCTCCCCTAGGGTCGAGAATTTCGCTTCGGGGAGGTGGTGGCTGGGGTGTGGGGATCTGGACTCCTTGGGTGGGTGTCCGGGCACCCTGGCGCAACCCTGGAAACTCCAGATCTTCCAAGTCTGCCTCCCGTGGCCCCAGAGACGTTCCAAGACGGTCCCGAATCGCCGAACGATTTTCCCAAGACGCCAACGAGGGCTCCAAGACGCCCCAAGGCGCCTTCGAGACGTCACAAGAGAGGCCCAAAAGACTTACCAAGAGGGCCCCGAGCGGCAAACATCCATGCCTTGCACATTAAAAACTCAATGTTTCTAGGGTTATCGTTGTCTCGAACTTCCAATTAATTAAGCGGGCTTGGGTATCGACCGTGTGGGAGTGAATCTAACTGTGGAAGAGTTGGAGCGTGAATGAGTCTCAGTAGTACCAGCGCGTTTCTGCGCATGAGACTAGAGTCTCCTGGGGCCTCCTGAAACCTCCTGGGGTTCCTGGGGTCTCCAGAAGCTTCTTGGGGCCTCCTGGGGCTTCGAATGGCCTCCTGAGGCCTCCTGGGGCCTCGTGTGGCCTCCTGGAGCATCTGGGGTCTCCTTTGGCATCCTAATACCTCCTGATACCTCGTGGCCTGGATCCTGCTGGAGCCTTCTGTGGCATCCTGAAGAAGATCCGTGCCCACGAGTCTGGCCAGCAAAATAAGCAAACCGCTCCAGACATCCTCAAACTCTGCCCCCCCCCCCCCTGGGGTGGGGGCGAACATGAGCGCCTCGCTCGAGACATCCTGCAACTACCCCTGGCGCCCCCCCCCCAAGGAGTGCGAAAATCAGCAAACCGCCTGACACATCCTCAGAATCTGCCTCAACAGCGAAGGATATTGGGGCACCGAAACAGGCAAATCGCATGAGACATCCCCGCAAGCTGAAAGCGAACGGAGGCCGTGCAATACCCCTGGCGGCCCCCCTTAGGATTATGAAACCCGCGCCTCGCTCGAAACACCCTCGGAAATCATTCCGCCATCATCAACATCATCATCACCATCATCATCACCATCATCATCATCATCATCATCATCATCATCATCAGCATCATCACCCTCATCATCATTATAATCATCATCACAACCTCTCATAACATACCATAACCTAACATCGCATACCATAGCATACCATGAGGG